AAATTACAAGACAGCCGACCTTCAGGCAACCTCCTACCGGCGTCCGATGACTACAGACAACCTCCAACTGGTATCTGATGGCTCATGATAACTTACAACCAGTATCTGACAGCTTAAGATAACCCCCGGTATCTGATAGCTAGCATAGTCATGTCATTGTGAGTCAAAAGCAAATTAAATAAAAGGCAGTGCTATTTGGCAGTTACTTAAACATTTTACTGGTCAGAACCAATGTCATAGATACAAGTACTGACAGACATCTGGCGCAACCTATCATGTGCGTACTACGAACTCTCAGGACGTAACGATCACCTTCCAGGACTTCCGCGACTTTAAATGAACCCTTGAAATTCTTTGAAGCTCTTGGTCATCCGCCGTAGTCACCAGAACAGAACAGAAAATATTTTTTTTATAGAATAAGGGTGACAAACGAGCATACAGTACACCTGATGGTAAGTGGATGCTGTGGCCCATAAACATCTACAAATGAGAATGCAGATGCGTTGCAACCCTTGAGGACTATAATGGAATGTCTAAGGTTCTCTGCCCTCACCATACGAAACACAGCAGCATTGAGCTGCTATTTTGCGTTGGTCTTCTGTGAGAGCATGGCCCTTCCCCGGTCGATAAGATCCATTCGTGCTACAATCATAACATAACTAGCAGCGAATGGAAATTACGTTAACTTATTTCATAAAAATTCATAGGTTCGGCAACTTCATAGGTAAAGACCTAATATATTCGTAATATCACGATAAAAGGGCTTTGGGATGAAAGTCAATACAATAAAAGGGTGAAATCTTTACGGATCAGATTTACAATTCCTTCAAACATTTGCTCTATTATTGCTTTCTTTGTACTTTGAAGACAGATCGCAGTCTTTAATATAACTTTTCTTCGTAACATAATATTTTTATATGTATGTATATTTACAGGTGGAGCATTTGTAACAATCCTGTTAGAAAGGTCTAACGTCACTACCAAATTTCGGTCGAGGCCGCCAATCCTACAGATAATTCACGAGTGTGGGATTAAGCACAGGTGCATTCTCTATTCCATCACTCTCATAAGGTTACGGAATGGTTCGCTTACAGAAATTGCCTCAGAACTGGTTTTGTGCCAATTTTAAACGTTTTATATTCATGAGATCAGTGCAGATGAAATTTAAATATATGGTTATCTATTTAATCTAAGAAAACTTCTACATCCATATTTCCTTAAATATATATTGGATGCTAAATTTAATAAAATTATTTTATCATCATCTTCATCATTATTACAGCAAATCAAATGCCTACTGCTGACATGGGTTACCCCCAAGGAATGTTGCATCTATCGACTTCCCATATCTCTTGACAGGTGGATACTTGCAAAAGTATATTTCTTTTGTTGCGTAAGATATGCTTAAGAAGCTTCGCCGAGTGACGTATTGAGTTCCTGCTTAGCATTGGCATTTCCCAGATATGAATAATTAATAGATTCTATAATACAATTTCTTATATTTACGCAAACACTAGGGTTACACATTCACAATTCTTCATACTAAGCAAAGTTATGTTAATATTATTTCATAAGCTTATGTCGGATATCCATCTATCTTAACGGACCAAAGACATGAAGGTTCATCACCAATATTGCATAAAAGCAGATTGCTGGTGATGGTCGTCCCAGTTTTAGGGAGGGTTTGTCTTAATCGTAATGCTTGTTGGATTAGCGATGCTAGATGCCTCGTATCTGTAGCACTGATCTCCGCCTCTAATCTAGGTATTTTCCATCTGACATCACGTCGAGCTATTCTCCCTGGCTCGTATTGCCGTGCTACGGATTTCACATAAATCACATTAAAATTTCATTTCAAATCCAAACAATAGGATAATTCGCTGCTTATAGAAACCCACGCGGTTGTCATTAGGCAAACAGAATGTAGCTTTCCGAGAAATTCATTTCAAACAATTGCTATTATTTCAAATGTATTCCGCACTAATGTTAGTTTAATTAAATTTATTCAACATACGGTGGTTTATTATTTTATTCTTCGCTTCATTCTATTTTATTACCTACTAGCTTTTGTCCTTGGTTTTGTCCGTAGCGTAGTAAGTAGCGTAAGTAGGTAGTGACATGATTTTGAAAAATTAACCCATGTTTACCATTGGTTGTCACTTTTACATTTATGACTAAGGGAGATTGCTCATTTATTACTAGCTCTTAAAAAAAGTGACTAAAATCTTTAAATGAGTAAAGTGACATCTAGCAGAAAAACTGGTTGATCAAAGAAGTACATCAAGGAAAAATAGGCAAGAGAAAGAGACGCTAAAAACACAAATTCGAAAATCGCTAAAAACATAGGCATTTTGCTATTGGCTGGAGTAATGAAGGTAAGCCGATCAAACCAAACACGTGAAGCACACTGGGGTTGATGCAATATATTTGACTATGTCTGAGCAAGGATTACAGTTTCTGACAAGGGTTTTGCGTTTTATAATATTGAAGACCGACAAATTCGTGCAGCGATTGATAAGCTAGCTCCATTACGAGAATTTTTTCAATTGTTCCTCGCCAACTTTCAACGTCACTTTGTTCCGAGTGCTGAATTGACTGTTGATAAACAGCTGATTGCTTTTCAATGTCGTTTTTATATCAGACAGTATACGGAGTTATATAAATTTTGCCCCAGTTGATGTCCATTATCCTTATACAATAAATTTGGAAATATATGCAGGACCACAACTCGACGGTCCGTTTCGATTGAGCAACGAAAGACACGATGTCGTCATGCGATCAGCCCAATCTGTGCTTGGCAAAAATATGCATATTACCATGGATAATTGGTTTTCTTCACTTCAAGTTCCAAAAGAACTTATTGAAAATAGCACCACTATGGTCGGGACTGTTTAAAAAGACAAACGAGAATTCCCTCGCGAATTTCGTGTCGCAAGAGGAAATCCACCATATTTGTCAAAATTTGGGTTCTACCCGCCACCTACATTGGTGTCGCATGTGCTGAAACCCAATAAAGTAGTTATACTGTTGTCAACAATGCACAACAATGCGACAATCAATGCCACCACTGGAGAGAGTCGGAAGCCAGAAATAATTATAATATGACAAAAAATGGAGTCGACCTTGTTGATAACATGAGTTCTTTGTATAACGTTTCGATATACTCTCAAAGATTGCCTCTAATAGTGTTCTTTTACTTGCTGAATTTGAGTGCACTCAACGCTTAACGCATTTACACAGCAAACAAAAACTATGTGAGTATTTTCCGTCGTGATTTCCTGATCGACTTGTCCCTGACATGGAAGAAACCATTGGCTCAGAAGATAATTGAAAAAAAGTAATTGTCAAGGTCCCTTACAATAAGGATAAAATACTTTTTCGATGATTTGGACGCAGAAAGACAAGCACCAACCTCGGAGGCTATGTCGAGTAATGTAGTGCGCCGTTGTCATGATTGTGGAAGAGACCGTAATAAAAACACCCAAAAATCTTGCACAGCGTGCAAAAAGTTTATTTGTGGGGATCATTTTTGAATAAAACTAATTTTACGGATTTTATCGCGTATATTAATCTATTTTTATATTCCCGACGTTTCGGGTGCTTTCCAGCACCCGTGGTCACGGGGGACTGAGGTGTTTGACGTCCTGCTGTCATATTTAGCCCGGCTACCTTCAGTTTTTTAATATTAATTTTTGGTCCGATTTACGCAGAATGAGCTTACAGTATCTTGAAGTCTAGCAGTGGTATACTTGGGTTTGGATTTGATTTTATTAATTATGGGATCCCAAGCAGATGGCAGCACCCATCCTTCTTCTCTATTGAAATTAGGATGTTTTTTAATTTCAATAGCCTCGCGAATCATCCTTGGGAGGAATCGGTGTTCTTTTGCGAGGATTTGTGGTCTATCAAATCTAATGTAATGGCGGGGACGATCTTGAACATGTTCACAAACTGCAGACTTCCCGATACGTCGGTGCTTCACGTCAGGTATATGTTCTTTAACGCGGGTTTTAATAGATCTTTTTGTTTGTCCTATGTACGACAGACCATATTCACAATCCAGCCTGTACACTCCTGCATCTTGTAGAGGGATATGACACTTGACGGATGGTAAAAATTGACCAATCTTCTTCAGCGGCTTGAAGTAAGTTTTAATGGAAGCTCGCTTCAAGATGAAGCCAACCTTGTCTATAACTCCTCTGACATAGGGTAGTACAGCAGGCACACGCTCGACTGTGGCTGGCTTCGCTCGGTCACTGTGACGTAGGCGCGAGACCCGAAGCTTGTTGTCTTGCAGTACTTGCTCGACGTGCTGAAGCTCGGTGGCCAGATGTTTTCTGTCACAGATCCCTCGTGCTCTCTGAAACAAAGATTTTCCCATGGTAGATAACTGTGAAGGATGATGGTGAGATTCACCATTTAGATATCGGTTGGTATGGGTATTTTTTCTGTACACAGTATGACCAATAGTGTTATGAGAGTTAAAGACAGTTTTAACGACATTTGATTTTAATAATTGCATTGAAACTTTAAACAAACGCGAAATATCGAAATATAATGAATGCAAAGACAAACAAATAGAAAAATACCAAAAATTAACTATCAAATCAAATGCCAAACATCCATGTCAACGTAGAAACGAAACGCAACAACCGTTGACCACAGACGCAAACAATAAACAACGCACGGTCTATAATTTGTCAAAAGAAACACTGGACGAACCTACAATAAAAGTATTGTCGAAAGGCTTGAATTTTGCTATAACGCCGCAAAAAATCCCGTACGAGGAAATTATCTGTAGTGTTGAGGATTGTCTGTTTAAGAACAATATCGGTAAAGAGGATTTAGAGGCTATACGTCAAGACATTTCGTCCTTGTTACGTCGAAGTTCAGCGCCAAAACTAAACCTCCCCAAAGACGAAATTAAAGCGTTGTACAACTTACGCGACAGACCAGAGCTCACGATTCTCCGCGCGGATAAAGGAAATGCTACGGTAATAATGGACACGTCAGAGTATAATTTCAAAATACAACAACTTTTATCGGACGTAAGTACATACAAAAAGATCAAAATAGACACTACAACTAATACACTTAAAACAACTACTGATTTAATAAAGAAATACTCCGAAAAATTGGATCTCGACGTGAATTCGACAATACCATCATGTGCCAAACCACCGAGGTTGTATGGGTTACCGAAAATACACAAACTAAACGCTTCACTACATCCTATAGTAAGCCAGATCGATTCACCAACTTATAATTTGGCTCAACACTTGGCTAAAATACTGTCACCACTAAGAGGACATACCAGAGCACACACAAACGATTCATACCATTTTGTTAGTGAGATTAAAGACCTACATCTCGCTGACAATGAAACTATGGTCAGTTTTGATGTTCAGTCACTATTCACATGCCTACCTAGTGAAGACTGCATCTCAATTGTTACTAGAAAGCTAGAAGATAACAACATGCCTACAGAATATGCAGTATTACTCAAACACTGCCTCACATCTGGCTATTTATTGTGGAAAGTAGAGTTCTACATGCAAGTAGACGGAGTGGCAATGGGCTCACCTGTATCTCCTGTAGTCGTCGATATATTCATGGAGGACTTTGAGGAGAAAGCCCTTCTTACTGCTCCTGTAAATCCAAGATTCTACAAGCGGTAAGTCGACGATACTTTCACAATTTTACCATCTGACACAGTAACTACATTTTTAAACCACCTTAATTCCATAAACCCTAAAATACAATTCACAATGGAGTTAGAGGCAAACAATACTTTAGCTTTCCTAGATGTTTTAGTCATTCGAAATGCTGATAACACTATTGGTCATACTGTGTACAGAAAAAATACCCATACCAACCGATATCTAAATGGTGAATCTCACCATCATCCTTCACAGTTATCTACCGTGGGAAAATCTTTGTTTCAGAGAGCACGAGGGATCTGTGACAGAAAACATCTGGCCACCGAGCTTCAGCACGTCGAGCAAGTACTGCAAGACAACAAGCTTCGGGTCTCGCGCCTACGTCACAGTGACCGAGTGAAGCCAGCCACAGTCGAGCGTGTGCCTGCTGTACTACCCTATGTCAGAGGAGTCACAGACAAGGTTGGCTACATCTTGAAGCGAGCTTCCATTAAAACTAACTTCAAGCCGCTGAAGAAGATTGGTCAATTTTTACCATCCGTCAAGTGTCATATCCCTTTACAAGATGCAGGAGTGTACAAGCTGGATTGTGAATGTGGTCTCTCGTACATAGGACAATCAAAAAGATCTATTAAAACCCGCGTTAAAGAACATATAACTGATGTGAAGCACCGACGTATTGGGAAGTCTGCAGTTTGTGAACATGTTCAAGATCGTCCCCGCCATTACATTAGATTTGATAGACCACAAATCCTCGCAAAAGAACACCGATTCCTCCCAAGGATGATTCGCGAGGCTATTGAAATTAAAAAACATCCTAATTTCAATAGAGAAGATGGATGGGTGCTGCCATCTGCTTGGGATCCCATAATTAATAAAATCAAATCCAAACCCAAGTATACCACTGCTAGACTTCAAGATACTGTAAGCTCATTCTGCGTAAATCGGACCAAAAATTTATATTAAAAAACTGAAGATAGCCGGGCTAACTATGACAGCAGGACGTCAAACACCTCAGTCCCCCGTGACCACGGGTGCTGGAAAGCACCCGAAACGTAACGGGAATATAAAAATAGATTAATATACGCGATAAAATCCGTAAAATTAGTTTTATTTAAAAATGTGTAGTGTTCGCGTAAATATAAGAAATCATTGTGGGGATCATTCGAAAATAATGTGTCTTTCTTGCACAGAAAATATTATAAGTAATTAAATTTTAGTAAATAGGTTTCTTGTGATCTCAATTAGAGTGAAACCTGTGATTTTTATGTCAATTTAGAGAAGTATTTTCTTTTTTATTTATCAATTATGACATAGAGGTTGTAATCAAAGAGAATATAACCACTACGTTTAGTTGTAATTAATTACATTGATTGTATGTAGTTATGAAAAGTGTACTGATTATGTTTTCATTAGTAAAATAAAGAAATAATGTTACAATATTTTTATTATAATTTAAAATTGGACTACGTATGTAGTTCCACGCGACAGCTCCTGCAGGGTTAAATCGTAGATTATCTTATGGGCCCTTCTGTGTAACAAATAACATAACTTTCGTACCATTCGCGTTTTTCCATAGCAAAATACCATATAAATGCTATAGAATTTGCTTAAATAAACTAGTTTAGCTGTTTCAAACTCGGTAAATTTTCAATCTTTTTAACATATTTTTTATAGGAGAGGGGGCAAACGGGCATGCGGCTGACCTGATGGTGACTGCCGCCGCCCATGAAAAACTGCAACACGACGGGAACCAGGGGAATTTCAGATGCGTTGCCGGCCTTTTAATTAAAAAGGAGTAGGCTCTTTTCTTGAAGGTCCCTAAGTCGTATTGGTCCGGAAAAATCACTGGTGGTAATCGATTGCACAGGGAAGTTGTGCGAGGAAGAAAACATCTTCTAAATCGCACAGTGGTGAACCGCCAATCATTTAGATGGTGTGGATAGAATCGGGAGGTCAGCCGCGATGTGCGTTTGTGAAATTTGGCGACTGGGATTAATTCGAACAATTCCTCAGAGCACTCCCCCTGATAAATGCGAAAAAAAATGCAAAGTGATGCAACATCTCTTCGCAGCGCCAATGAATCAAGCTGATCGGAAAGGACTCAATCGTCGACAATTCGAGCCTCTCTGCGCTGGATGCGGTCAAGTGGAAGGAGCTGGCACTGGGGATCCCCTGCCCAGATATGGTAATAGTATTCCATGTGAAGCCGAACCTGCCCCTTGTAAAGTTGAAGTTGTTCCGGCATGAAATACTGTCCCGATGTGCTGAGCACTCCAAGCTGTTTAGAGGCCAATTTGGCCTTTTCTTCCAAGTGACCACGAAACTGCACGTCACTCGATATGTCGACGCCGAGGATTCCGATACTGGCTGAGGCAACAAGGGGAGTGCCTTAAAAATGAGGAGATACGACAAAGGGGTTCTTTTTAGCGATAAACGCGCAACCTTGTGTCTTCTGAGGATTAAACTGGACTAGATTTAGTCGCCCACAATCCGATACTTTGTTCAGCAAAGACTCAACTTCAGACACAAGTTTGTTCCGGTATATAGGGACAAATATAGGGACTCCATAGAATCTTCGCGTCTCTCGAGAGATTTCATGAAAACGTTGGTTTCAACAACTGTGTGACAACTCATCCCCATTTAACATTTTTGTGTTAGGACTATCTAAAGTTAAGTTTTAAAGCAAGTTACATGAAAATTGTTTACGTTGTAACCATTTGCTAACTTCGATGTAATTTTAGTTTGAAAATTAATGACAAAATAATACCTACTTATCATGTTTATCCTCTACTATGTAAGGTATAATAATATAGACAGGAAACGTAAAGGGGTCGAGAATTGAGAAATGGCCAATTGTACTATCGACCCGAAAGAACTTTTAGCATTGATAACAACTTTTTGAGTCCTGTTATTTAAATATGAAATAATAAATTTTAGAGTATGATTACTTTCATAATGTTGAAGTTTACTGGTTAATGCTCATAGTGAACACAATCGAAGGATTTGGAAAGACTACAAAATATGCCCAAAGTAACCTGGGAATTTTCCGATACAGCGTAAATATATTTAATCAGCTTAAAGCTAGCATCAGTTGTCGATCAACCCTTTGAATAACCGAATTGTCTTTTAAGAAGTAAATTACATACATAAAAAATAATAAGTGTTGGCAGTAGGTAGAGAATTAGGTCTAAAACTGAAGGGTTCTAATGTGCTACCAGATATTAAAAAAGGTATTGCTAGTAAGGCCTGCGAGCTAAACGAAAACACCTGCAATGAGCAACTGGTTACTGCGGATGCCCTGCAAGCGGCAGTTTTAGGCTTCTAACACGAACTTGTGCGACATCGTGCACAAATCCCACGCGATCAACTTGCACTGCTTCAAAAGAGCACCGTGGCCTCTACTGCTGCTGATCTTGCATGTTGGCGTTTCTCCGTTAGCAAGATCAAGTGGCTATTTGAACACTTAATGCAGTCCGTTCAACTTTGAGAAACATTGCAGCAATGTTCTAGAAAACTACAGCCAAGGCATTGCAGTCCTTGCCAACTAGGGCTAGTATTTCGATCTGTACAAATGTTTTGCTCGTGCCTCCGTGATTTGACAAGAAAGAAGAGCTCCCATCTATTATCTATGTGCCTATGGATCATTTATAGCATTTGTTGTTGCTCGGTTAGAAAACGTGACGCCAATTCATAATCACGCTATTTTCCAAATACTTGGTGTCATAGCTAATCTCCTTGAAAATATCGGCTGAAAATTCTCCCATTCTTTAAGATGTGGGTAAACTTAAATCAGCAAATTAATTGCAAAAGTGTGACAAGGCCGTTAAACATGACTTTTGAATTTTCTATGTTTATCCTAAACCTATCCGTTGGAGGAAACTATTCAGGTTAATGTTCAAAGTGCTGAAGTCTTCCAGCATTTCGGCCATAATGATCAAATTGTCAGAAAATATACCTTAGTATTTTTATAAAAATATTTCTGTGTAATAATTTAAATAAAAACTCCGTAATTCACGTATAATTTACTACTATCACACGGATGAAAGAGGGCTCTTACGTGACCCGTAAATAATATTCCTAAATAAACATTTGTAATGGCCTCAAGTCCTAACATTTTACTTTGACTTACTTTGTGAAAATATTTTTTTATTTATGTTTATAGAGGGCATGTTATTTTTTACGTCATTACACAAAGATAACTGTTTTGAAATAAAAGAAGTATTCAACGCTCATTTTTATCTTTATACATATAACTAGGGGATGCTAAGAATTTCCGGTGGAGGTTCAGTTGCCACCTAAGACGTCTCGACCTGGCAACAAATAACGCACAAACCCTGAGGACTGACTAGAATATCGTGGAGCTGAAAGAAGAGATAGACAAGTTACGCTGGCATATTATAGGATTATCCGAGGCCTGAAGAGAGGGGGAGGACATGGTAATCCTCGAATCCGGCAACTTGTTCTATCACCAGGAAGGCGACCATCTGTCCCAAGGAGGGGTTGGATTTATCGTCCACAAATCTCTTGTTAACAACGTTGTAAAGATTGAGTGTGTCGATAGGGGTTGCGTAATCTATACTCAGAATCACCAAACGTTATTCGCTGAAGGTCATACATTTTTTCGCACCAAGCTTGGCACATCCCGATGAGAAGGTGGAAGAAATGTATGAGAATATAGGTAGAAATAAAAGAAGTATTCAACGCTCATTTTTATCTTTATACATATAACTAGGGGATGCTAAGAATTTCCGGTGGAGGTTCAGTTGCCACCTAAGACGTCTCGACCTGGCAACAAATAACGCACAGACCCTGAGGACTGACGAGAATATCGTGGAGATGAAAGAAGAGATAGACAAGTTACGCTGGCATATTATAGGATTATCCGAGACCTGAAGAGAGGGGGAGGACATGGTAATCCTCGAATCCGGCAACTTGTTCTATCACCAGGAAGGCGACCATCTGTCCCAAAGAGGGGTTGGATTTATCGTCCACAAATCTCTTGTTAACAACGTTGT